CTGGGCTTAATGGTTCTGGAAACATTTGTTAAAAGTATTAAAAATTTATTTTAATGAGTTTGTAAAATCGGATCCTGATATGCAAATTTGCATGGAACTGGCTTATGTAAATAAGATTAGACGTATGTATGTACAGAGGGTGATTGGAGATTACGAGAACCCTTCTTATTTTCGAAATTGTAATTGCAATTGATGTCTATCAACAATCTAAACATTTTGTATGTGTTCTCCGTACGTTATGCCGAACATCTGCAGTCGTCGCTTCCATCCGGCGTACACAGTTCGGCACGTTTCCGGTGTAATTACATCCTATTCCTCGTTGAGAAGTTTCCGAACTCCTGCAATGGAATTACCTCGCCGCTTGAAAAGTCGTTGTTTCAAGTACCCAAGTTCAAAAAAATCCATGCGACTGCTATCATGTGACTTGACAAGTATATCTTCGTTACTTATCAAAGTAACTCCGAGATTCGCCTTCAACTGCGCCGCATACGCTTGGGTGAATCTGGCAGTATGGGATGATGCGGCATCGTGATGATCCTACACTTTCTCCAGCTCGCCCTGGTGGATAGATGGAATTTTTTTCTCCAAAATTATTTTTAAACTATTGTCCACATAGTCCTTCGAATTAATCTTCTAATTAATCGTTTGTGCGGACAGGAATCAAATTCACCACCCCCCGGCCAGTCATTGCACCAACAACCATGAGTTTGTCACTAAACTTTTCTCTTTTCTGACACACATAATTATTACGGTTTTTGCAGTCCTTTGTGTAGAAAATTTGTCGTGTTATTTTGCAATCCTGAAAATAACACAATGCCTCGTCAAGTGTGACAGGAAATTCGGACCTTTTTCCTGCAAGGTGACCCCTTATTGGCTTCGAAAATTTAATTTCCTGGTCACTTTATGACTTTGCTTTAGTCATTGAACTTTATATTTTTTCACAGTTTGTTTAAGTAGTTTATGGTGAATATGTAGTGTTAATGTAACCCTGGCACATCCCCAAAGACTTTCCAATTTGTCGCTGACTTGATGGGGTTTCCTTCGTGGTCATGAGGTCCAATTTCTTCAATGATGACGGATTTACCTTTCTTGATGGTTACGCATTTCGTGTGTGGGGGAGGTCCAATGATGTTTTTTATCGCCGTTTTTCAACATTTTAAATAATATTACGTATGTATGTCGAACTAATGTTACCCACCCCTTCAACAAAGTTCCCCTTATTTTTTTATATCGAAGTTCATTGTTGGAAAACTCCTTGACGGTCTTCTCAAGGAAAGGATCAATTTCCAACGCCATTTCGAAAATTTTTGAGGCTGGCAAGTGTGTTGCAATTGAGTGGAGGAACACAATTCCGACCGCAAAATCAAAATCCCGCCAGTGGGTGTGGCAATATGAGACATTTTGCAAGGGTTCTCGAAATCTCCAATCACTCTGTATACCTGTGGATGTGGAACCAACAATCCTTCAAGGGCGCTAATCCATCTGGAGGCTTCACACCTATTTTCATGTCCGGACATGGTACATCTTGTGACAAGACGGCAACAGTTTTAGCTAATTGGACTAAAAAAAATTATAAAATCATAGTTAACTGTTTAACTACCGCGTTACACACATATGTAAATATGATGATTGTGTCAGTTAACTGTCTCAAATCCTATTTAACTTGTAAAATATTTATGTACCTGCACTACGCATGAATCGATTTTGGTTTAGGACATCAATTAGCGCATGACTAGTCGCACCCCGTAGTAGTACCCCGCCCTTTTTCAACCATTGTTGTATCACATGCTTCAAGAGGTCGTACGGGGTGGACACTCCATTTTTGTAAAAATTCATTTGTACCTGATTGACCCGAATGTCTAATGCGTATATAAATACGGTCACGTTATCGAGTAGAACTTTGTCACTTAGGAGGAGGGGACCTCTACCACTCACCACCAGATTTGGATCTCCTTTGGATATGTGGTAGTGTCCTATGAGTCTACCAAAACCCTGAAGTGGTTTTATTCCATGGCCCCATTTGCGCCCGCCACACCCCCTGAAAGGGAAAAGATATACAAAAATCAACATCTTCAAAGGCTCGCCAAAAATCCAATTTTGTTCGAATTTTGAAATTTCTTGCACTATTGTGATCCTAAATAGTTGCTTTATCACATCCGATATCAAGCTCGGCTGTTTTAAATTTTTTAATATTTTCTAAAATTTCCTGACCAGGGGTATGTCTTCGAAAAAATCAAAATTTTGAAAAAGTTGAGTTTGTTGTTGGATATGATCAAGCAACTATCTGGGACTATAATGATGCAAAAATTTTCAAAATCGGATGAAAATTCGATTTTTGGTGAAGATTTTTACGAACGAAAACAGGGCTTTTTTAGTGTTTTTCAAGCAGTTGAGGGGCTGTGGCGGGCGCAAATGGGGCCATGGAATAAAACCACTTCAGGGTTTTAGTAGACTCATGGGGCCCTCCCACATATCCAAAGGAGATCAAAATCTGGTGGTGAGGGGTAGAGGTCCCCCCCTCCTTAATCAGATCTCTACGACACCTTTTACGTCACATTGTCGTACGACTTGTCTACCCATTTCTCCATTCGTACATAATAATTATCACTTATGTACATACATATGTATGTATGTAATGATGAATTATTAATCCTAAGTTTAAAGCTTAGCCAATTTAGTGTTTGTTATGTTCCAGTGTCAAACGTTGACTGATTTGTTTATCTGCCCTTCACGATGGGGATTGATTGATGTACATATGTGCATATGTAATGTGTGTTTATATAGGCAGCTGTAATTGACCCGACTGGACGATTCGTTATGTATGAAATACATACACATCGTCTTTGAAGTTTCCAAAGGAGACATGTCCACTTTTGTCCCTACTTTCTCGTAAGTTTCAACATGGGCTTCCGTTCCAATTAGAGGATATCACCAGCCAAAAATGGACATGGCTCCTTTGCATACTTCAGCAACGATAAGTATGTAAATATATTGACAAGTTTTCATTATTAATTAATTATTTATGTATGTATGAATGATGCGGGTGTGATGATGTAATACCGATACTGGAATTAATAACAATTTGTTATTGATTGCATCATGGACCGCAGAGCTGTGAGGGCATTATGGGGATGATACCAACATAAATAGGACTGTGACACAGGAAGAGAGAAGCCCAATAAAATTGCAAGTGTAGTAAAAGTTGCATGTCTCTGGGGACATTGTCCCCTATGTCCCCAAGCTTCTGCGGTCCCTGGATAAAATCATTTTTTCCCATATGCACAACGTTTCAGCAATGCATACCTGTATGTATTTATGTATGTAAGTAAGGTCGTACGGATTCAAATTCGTGGAAAGTATGTAGATATGCAAAGATTTGTGCTCTGAAATATCAAATTATTTAATACAAAATTTCAGAATAAATTAAGTAAGTTTTAAAGTAAATGATGTATTTAGAAAATTCTCCTCTAGGGCTGGTAATCGCTTATTTTTGTTTAATTTTGTTTCTGCGACAGCGATTGTGTTTTAGATGTGGTGCACATCAGAGAAAATCTAATTCAAAACATTTTTCATGTAATTTAACAATCGTCTGAATCACATTCACACTTTGGTTAATTTTTTTGTAATGTTATATAGTTTTTACAAATTTAATAAAATAAAAATCGTCTGAAACAAAAAAAAATTTTGTTTTGTTTCAGACAATTTTTTAAATTTTTTTCATTCGTAAAAAATATATAGCATTACAAAAAATTAGACTAAACCGTGAATTTGATACTCAGATTGCTACAAAAATTATACATTGAAAATATTTTGTTATTTTTATAACCCACTGTCGGCCTTACATATTCTCCTCATCCATTTAATTTAATTATCTTGTTATCATTATCATGGCAAGTGACAAAGTCTAATTCGATTCCCAACTCAACTGCGATTGTATTGAACGTGTGTTATGTAAATATGTACTTGCTCACGTCAATGATTTACATCCTGCCTGTGTAAATAATACAGAAGTGTATTGCTGCAGGAATTTATTGGATAATTCCAATACCGCGTGGTCAATACATATTCACTACCATTTCCACGTACAGGGAGGGGATGAGTCATCCTTTTCTACATAGATGATAACCCTACCTATTATTATTGTATCCGGCGTTTATGCATTTGTTTTGTTTGTTCAACATGTTCCCCAGACTTCTGGATAACCAACCAAGCATAATCGTCGTTTTCATGAATTCATTACTTTTCCTATATCTGCAAGAGTAATCTTCTTCCACTCATCATTTATAACTTTCCAAACCCCATCGAAAGCATAGCTCGCAGTTTGTCTATGAACGGCCCGTGGTCCATAATGTTAAATAAATGATGGACCACGGGCCGTTCATAGACAAACTGCGAGCTATGATCTAAAGTGGTAGCGCGTCTTAAATGAAGCCTTTATTTTAATAGTACAAATGGGAAAAAAATCCATGGAACTGGCATCAGGACTTTTTACTAGTGTCTCGCTTTTAGGAATGATGAATATCCCGAATTGTATGTACATACGTGCATATCCCACTAATTAATTAATTTTTGTACATATGTACACTTTTAGAAATCCGGTATCAAATTAGTACCACACAGTATTCATATATGACTCTACCAAAGTGGTATTAATTAATAATACCGTATGGTAATATCTTGTTATTAAACCTTTACCATGGAGTTAGCAACTCTGTACCCCCCGGTATAATTTTAATACCAAATTTAATACCCAGAAATCAATACCTGCGTGACTATACCGGATTTCTAACTGTGTATGTATGTACAAGTTACGTAGGCCCGTCTAACGGGCCCAACTTATGTAGATGAGTCTCTCGACAATCACTGTTCCGCAATAATATAAAATCTCGATTAGTGTAGATCATTAATTAACTTCAGCAATATCTATACATAATTTAACAGCGGAAGCGAAGTGCTTAAATTCTTCATCGAATATGCTATAAAATTGTCGGTATGCATGATTTATTTACTTTGTCATCCTCGCAACAATAACGTTCCTTCGGCTACTTAATAATTTCTAGTCGTTAAATATGTAAATAATTGCCACTAATCGAATGACAACCGATCAGTATACACAATTAACCTATACTAAGAATGCACACTAAAAATAAAGTATGTTAAGAAGCATTGAATTGCATAAACACTATGAAAAGTGTGCACGCTTGGCCAAAGATCTGAAAACCGAGACGAACAAAATTGTACATATTATTTACACAGATAGATTTGTATTTCGTATCAAAAACAAATTAAAAGGTCGTACCCCCAAAATCAGAGAATTGTTCAATGTCACATAATTGTTTAATGAAATTTCCGTTGGACACGTGGTCAAAAGGGTGTAAATACTTTGTAGCTACATAAATAGATGAATAGAACTATTAAGTAATTAATTGTTCATAAAATCCATATTAAATTAATTTACATTAAATAGAAAATTTAACAATTGATTAATACATCGAAATATGTACCTCCCGATTTAAATCGTCCTCCACCATCAATAATTCCTTGTCTTTGATAATCTTGGCAATTTTCTTGTCCTAAAAATTTTGTAAAATCGTGCCATGTTTTTGTCTTAAAAAATTCCTCCTTGTTCAAAAACTATGAATTGTCTACCTCTTCCGTCACGTCGGTCGCAGCCCAAATTTTTATTACAACCCGGCAAAGTGACCACAAACTGAAAAACGACATTTGTCCCAACACCACAAAGTATTTCGGACTCCAACTGAGCGTAACGCAAATGTAGAGGGTTGCGGACGTGTAATAAATTGAGAAAAGGATTGACAAAATTTGAGAAATGGTCAAATATCGGCCACACGACTCTGCTCGTGATCGCACCATTACAAGAAGCCCTTGCAAATTACGAAGTTGGACTTTATCAGAGAAACTAGTCGACTGAATTTGTTTGCGGATCTGAAATATAAAATTGTTCAGATGCAAAATTTAATAAAATTGTGGCGTACTTACGACAACGTCATATTCCCCATCGCTACTCATTTATCGAATTTGTCTATCCTAAAAAATTTGCTGTAAATAGCGGACTTTGCAAAATATTTCTTCACAAATTTCGTAATTTCTGACGGAGAGTTTGGGAAATAATTTTCGCAAGTACATATGTACGAAAAACATGCCTGCCTATCACCTGGGTAAACTTGTAACCCAAAATGCAATCCTTGTTCATAAAAAGTTTTCGAAATCTTTCCAAATTTCGCAAAAGTTCTGCTGATGTGATAAAATTTGCGAAGTTTGTAAAATATGGTAGATTTGTGAAAGTTTGACGTGAGTTTGCCTATTACACAAGTGTCTAATTTTAAGAACTGTTTGTATAATGCGAACCTCTGAAAAACATCCCTCAACACATTTCAGCAACAGTACAACTTTAATATCATCCAGAACATAGGCACCCGTTGAAATTAGACAGTAGAGTTGATGCAGTACGACATAAATGGGAAAATCCAGGACAAAACGTATATCTGAAATTAGAACTAAAACCGAAAATAATGGCACCGTTCCGATAAAATACGCGGTGGAAAATATATTCCGAAATTTGGTAATGTCCACGTTTCCATATTTCTGTTCCGAAAATGATCCCTGGGTTGGGTTCCAGTCATTCAGATACTTTACGAGTTGAGGCGTTGTCCACCACGAGATGAAGTATTCCATCGCGATGTGCAAAATGGACACGATTTCGGCGGAAGACAGCAACCCAAGGGTTAACGCGAGACGGGGAGATTTCGTGGTGCCGATCCAGGTTGCATTTCCATTAGCGACTACGGGCCAGCTACATATGTATTTAGGAAAACAAATTAACCTCTTGGCTTCCGATTTGACACAGTCTTAATTTTTCCCTAGACCCGCCAAAATTGTAAATAAATATGCAAAATGTTAAAACATTCGGTGCTAAAAGGTAAAAATTTCCATAGGAAAGCGTGACGTTTGTGCCACCTCTTCCAAAAATTTCAACTTTTCTGAATCTATGTACGCTGGGTTTAAAAGTGAAATTTTCAAGGTTTTTGAGTTTTCGGAACTCAGAAAATGTCCTTCACCAGTGAAAGAACTAGGTACTGAATGGTTAGCTTTTCATAAACTTTGACAAGCTACCCAAGAGGTTAATTAGCTAATTACGAAATAATTTCTGATAAAATAAATATGGACATACGTACGTACATTCCTCCTGTTGGAAAGTACTGATACCCGAGCGCACCAAATTGAAGTAGACCGATGGCCATGATGAACAATGACGCGATCGCGGAAACAAGTGGAGTCCACAGACTTTTGAGACATTTCCGACTGAAACTGTAGTCCGTGTAATTCCCGAAAGTGTTATATTCCAACGGACAGCGCCCCGTAATACGCAGGATGACAAATAAGGGTAAAAGTTGTTTTGTAAGGAGGGAAGGTAAAATTGACTTGGTTTCCAATTTTGAAAGCGGTCTGACGGTTTTCCCCATTTTTGGAATTTTTCTTTTAAGTGACCACATTATTTCTGACTGTATGTCTTAAGGATGCATTATGTTCGACGACTTCTCCAACTGAACAAATGGTGACTGGAATGATTAATTGATTAATCTATGTATGACTAAATAATTGTATTGACCATGTCAACAAAGTTATGTATTCGATGTGATGCACACTTAGCTAATTGTTTACTTTATTTTACTGAAGGGACATGAAGGGGAATGAGTGAAATGCATTATTTGTCAATTAACGATATTTGTCGCGATAATTGGCTTATAAGCTAGTGCTGAATCTTGCTGGGCAGTTTACTACTGGGCGGTGTATGGCTTTCAACCTATCAAGAAAAAATTACGTAAAATGTAAAAATCATTTAAATACGTATGTACCTATGTAGAAATATTGAAGTAGTATACCTCATTTAATTCTTGTCCAGGTGGAATTTCGACATGTAACACTCAACCTGATTTCGTCTGGTAGGACGGCAACTGAACCGATTTCGCTGATAAACAAGTATTAAAACTAATTGAAACCCACCGGGTTAACCTGCAGGATCCGTTATTGTGTTACCCGAAAAGGTGAATATCCCTATTTTAAGCAATTACCTGTAATCACCAATAAAGTTTGTCCTATGAAAGGAGTTTCCTACATTGCGATTGCTCAAAATGAATGCAGTCAGTTTGTAAAATTTTCATGAAGGGATCTCGGCGAATTGCAAAGGTGTGCATGCCAACTAATAAGAACAACACACAAATTACCCAGTTCCTCAATTAAGATAAATTGTGTGTGGCTATCTAACCATAACAGATAAATTACTGTTGTTCTTAATGGACAACTTGTCCAAACCATATGGGAATTTAACGTGTACATACGTGTTAAAATTTGTGCGTAAACGTAAACTCCCAATCTCCCTAATAACTCGCCATATTGATGGATTGATTTATTGAAGGCTTTTTGGGGCCTTTAGGCCCATAAAGGTACATGTATAATGCATATAGTACAAAGATTCGCATTTTTTTATAAAAAAAGAAAAATTGAAATAACAAAAGTGGTAATAAATTTTTAAGGTTGCGCACATATATACTGATAGATACGTGTGTATGTAAACAAGTGCAAATTACACAAATATGTATGTATATCTGCAACACCGCAGTTGTATGTACATACATTATTCACTTGCAGCCACAAGATTTAATCACCATATCCTTGTACTTTTTAATAGTTACGTTCGAAAGGTCATCATAATACTGAAATTATTCAAATGAAAACAAAAATGGTCACGATTTAATGTAAACCAACAAGTTAGGGTAGTATGTACATATATACGTAGAGTGAGCCCAATATACATACATATTAGTACGGGGTACGGACGCTTGCTACATAGCATAATCATGTGCAACTTTGTTTCTTATAGTAATTTTCTTATGAAATTTTCTGAATTTTACAGAATAAGTACTTATATTTCAAGATATCATAGATTTGTTTAGCCAAGATGCATGGTTTCAAAGCTAAATTACATGGAAATGAACACAAAAAAAGTTACTACACCCCTTCATAATTTTCGACTTCAACTTGTTTAAACTTATATACAGCTTTTGATTGGTATATACTCAATCACTTCCTTAATATATTTTTGGATCGACCAAATCCACCAAATTTTCTGTTGATTTCATTTCAATTTTTCACATCGAAGATGATGTCACCGCGTAAAGGTATCTTTTGATTTAAAACAACGATTGGAAATTGTGTGGCCTAATTTTGCATACAAATTTTCTACACTCTTAAAAATTTTCGCTTCGAATGGAGTAAAATGTCACTCCAATAGGTAGTCAAAGTGCTTCGACGCTGCCCGGAGTAATGCGTGTAGCAACTAGTCTGGAGTAAGCGTACTTACTCCACTCAGAGTTGTAGCATGCTCCAAATTATGCATAGGGCTTGAACGATACATAGTAAGATTTTACTCGATATGATGCAATTCTGCCCGATTCTAAGTAAAAGTGAACACGATTTTGAGTATATGGCTTACTCTGTCCGGGGCTCGCCTTACTAATTTAGAAGTTCAGTTAAAAACGGGGAAAAATATATTTATTTGTGTGAGTGCGATTTATTATTTCACAACTATTAAGTTTTACAATTCAATTACTTTCATAGGTAGGTTAAAAATAATATTACAGTGTAGCAAAAAATGTTTGAAATATTATTAACAGTAAAACAAGCTTTGAAACAGTTAAATATTCTGCATAATTTGTCCAATCAACGCCTGTACAACGGGTGGAAGATTTGATTGGCAAGGTTTACCAAATACACCGTGATAAATAAATAACCAATGGTTAAACGATTCAACTGGAAACGGAAGTGGCAACACGGTGAAAATCTTAGTCAATGAGTCAAAGGCTTTCAAAAATTTTGAACCGCATGGAATGGCAACCTTATGAATGATGATAAAAAATGAATCAAACTGCAGATCGGCCATAGTCCCCAGGGCAAGTAAAAACGGAGCTTGGTGTGTGTTCATCTTAAGAATTTCGGCTACATGAGTATTTTTCTGGCAAAAAGAAGATTGCATATTAATTAGAATGAGATTATACATAATTGCCCTAAGATTATAGTACAAACGATAACGCACCGGTTTTACAACAAACATGCTTTTGTATACGTCCAAGTCCGACGCTTTCAGAATCGACATGGTTTTCTTGGGGGGACGACCAGCGGCTTTTGCCTTACGTTTTCCTCTCGTAGTCACCATAGGCAGTTCTCCATCGTCAAACTGGTCCTCCAAGTTGTCGGATGCGGCCCGTCGGCCACACGATGGAAGCACAAACGGCAATACGCAATAAGCCAGTATTGTAACGTCATCTAAGGAACAAAAAAATACATAACTTTGAGTTAAAAATAATTATTTGGTAATAAAGTACCGGAGGACAGGTCATAACGACTCTTCATCACACCGAATTTTTTCAAGTAGTCGATTCCACTCTCTTCTGCATATTCCAGGATTTTTCGAGATACCCTTGGCCACCGGTCGTACATCACGAAGGCCAGTGCAGGATGACGGCAATCGAAATCTTGAGTTATCTATATATGTATATATTTTGATAAAGTAATCCTGTTAAGTTAACTCTTGCGTACTTTCATATAACATAATTTGTACATACCATCCCCTCTGTATCGAAAAGTCGAGGCATGGATACTACTAAATTATCCAGAATATCTACATTTACCGCGTTAAGTCGGCGTATCACTGTGCGACGTTGAAAAACGGTATTTTTCATTGCCGAGTCAACATCAGTTCCAAAATTCTGGCGAATATACTCCAGAATTCCTTCCTCCGGATCTGGATCATCTATATATTAACAGGGTATTACAATGACAGCAAAATTTGCAGAGTGTTTTGGCTACCAAATGGGCGAGAAGTCAAGTGGTCATTAAAGGTTATAAAGGTTAAAAAATCTCACCATCCTCGTCATCAGATATCCAATTCAAAACGGGCAAATCCAATTCGTTACACTTTGTAGCTGAAGTAGACAGAAGTTTTTTATCGGAGATTTTTTTTCGCTTATTTGTAAGCCTTTCCTCCAAAAATCCGCTCGCCGGGTTGCCATCGCTGCTACCCATGAACCACATCTGGTAACCGAGATGCTTGCGTCTGGGGTCCCCTAGGGCTGGATATTTTCCGACAAGATCTTTTGCCATTTGGTCCATTGCTTGCTTACTTGGGCTATAAACGGCGACTAATTGAATCAAATAAAATCTTTTATTGTTTGCCTGTAACGTACCATGTTCAAAGATTTTCAATGATAGCATCCACCAGTACTGCGGCGATGGTCTGACGGTCATCCTTAACCACCATTTTCTTGGCTGGGATCTTCTGAAATAGTATATGCTTCACTGCATCATTTTTTCGCAAAACCGCATCAATATCCTGCAAATATTACCCCCATTAAAAAATTGTATACGAAAAGCTTAGCAACCCAGAAACTTGCAACACTTGTCGAAGACTTACGAAATTATAAAATCGATGTTCATGTATGGGAGCGCTCTGAAATTGACGAAGCCAGATAATCGTATTGAGCACACAAAAAATATGGAAGAGAACAATGTACTTAAAATATTTAATTTAGTATTTATAACCGGGCTGGATTCCACTGGTCTTGTGAATGAGGAACCAGAAGTGGTGGCCAATTCTATGGAATCTGAAGTTGATGCAGTGGAATTTTGGCTTAACGGTTCGTTCTCTCTGATTACTTCAAGAAAAATCGTTTGACTTGAAGGTAGTTGCTAAATATAAAATAATACAAATTAATAAACTGAGCAGCTAGAAAATTTGGTTATTTTTCATTCGTACCTGATGAGTAATAGAAGATGATGGGGAGGATAATTCTGCCCTTTTGGATAGCAGAATGTCGGTTGGTAATCTTAGTCCTCGTTCAAGAAGTTCTCGGTTGCTTATCAATGAGGAAGTGAACAAACTTTGATTGTCGTCTTCGACGCGCTTGTCACAAAATAAATTATTATATTATATCAAAGTACTTAAAATTTATGTTAATTTAGTGGATTAGTTCGGTATTCATTTACGTCAGACCTTGGTAATAAAAATAAATTGAATTACTCAAACTAATTTAAATGGAACACTAATATATTCGTTGACATCATTGTCAAAAAACGAATGCATTGTGTATAAGGGCTGGTAATGCTTAATTGCATGCAGATCTACTAATCGAATTTTATTCGACTTACAAATTTGGTAGGCTGACAAATGTGTCACAAGCTTGCTAGAAAATTCGGTTACTATGAAAGTACAATCGTCGTCCTCTAATAAAATTCCTTCAATTTTCCCGAACTCTGGGAAAAGCGTGCAATATTTCAATATTACAAAACCTCCTACTCTAAATTCAGAATTATTGGATTCAACAAGATTTGATATTTTGATTATAGGATTTTCTTGGAAATGGAAATGATCAGCCACAAGCTCAGCATGCACAAAGTCATTCAACTGAATAAATTCGTATTTAGGGACTACGAATGTGCACGGTGAAAATACATTTTTTGAGATTAAAGAAAAACATCGCCCAAGCTGATGCCTATAAGCCAATGTTTTGGGTATATTCTTAAAATTGCACACCGTATGCGCTGTAGTTTTGAATACTTTGTGTCGAGCTTCGTAAGTCATGCTCCAGTACTGCCTTAGAGAACCGATTTGAACAATTGAACCTGAATAATGAAGAAGATGATGATGTTTAGGTTTCAGTTTTCGTTTGAATAATTCTTGATAATTACAACAGAATTCAGAAATAAGAGAGTCCAAGTAAATAAGGCCACCCTTCGTAATAATGTGCGAAAGAATTATGTCACAAATTTCTCGTAATAGCAAAAATAGTTTCCATACAGGATCATCGTGTGGCATTAAATCGCCAAGTATTAACGGTAAAGAGACGAGCAAACACAAATTTTGAGAAGCATTTTGTCCTGACTTTGTGTCACCCTTTAGCACTGAGGCTTTAATTTGAGACGGTTTACTTCTACGGAAGTGCCGTCCATAATCAAAGGATTCAATTCGATAATTCAGCTTATCCAAATTGAAACGCTTGTTTTTAATTCCTAAACTGATCATTAAATTGAGTAAATCAGGAACTACCCCTTCCAGTAGGTCGTGCATAATATCGAACACGAACACTTTCGTTACGTGGTGATATGGAAGTGAATTTATCACGGATTCAAAATTTATACCAGTAGCAGAAAGATTTCTAAATTCAACATCCTGATTATAATTCTCAATTGATCGCAATACTCCGGGGTTTTCGGTCACAGCGGTTTGACAATCATGCTTATGCATTTTACAACGCCTGCATGGATAATTGGCATTAAATCCCTCGGAAAAACCTAATATGGTGTGCAATCCTAAATTGTCACCCGATATTTGGGACAATGCAACTTTGATATTAATAGTTTTGCCATTGTGATTGAAATTTATCCCAGTTTCCCAAAGAAATAAAAGCTCTTTGACAATGATATTCATAACCGAGTTTGGAGATAATATCTTTAAATCCTCACTTTTAAGGGAACAGAGCAATATTATGTTTTCAATTGAACTATTATAATGACAAGGCATATCTTGGATTGAATAGTAAAAGTTTGCCAACTTATGTTTCCCATTTTTGGACCCCAAAGGATTAGCAACCTCAGCCTCGTCAAAGTATATATTTATAAAAATTACCTGAGATGGAAAGTTGGAATCGCGAAAAAACTTTCCATCTCGAAATGATGAAAATTTTCTCCCTGAATATGACTGTTGTTTGTCAAGTATGTCGTAAAAGCCTGGTTTCTGTAATAATTGGAAAATTGAGTCACGTATTGAAACATATTGAAGCTTAATTGGTCTGTAAACTTGTCGCTGGTTCCCAATTTTTAATGGAAAATGTAAATCTGTGTCCAAAACTATTTCTCGAGCAGGAATAAACAAATTTCCGTCAATTAAAAGCTTGTCTAACTTGTGTTTACTATCAAACGAAGAGAACACGTGAGCTAAGTTTTTAATTTGTTCAAGCTTAAATAACTTTTCACTTAATGTTTCGTTACTTTTTAATATTATAATGGATCTGCAAACAGCCTCTCCTAAGATCATTACGGTAAACTCCTTAATTAAAGTTAAAATCTCGTCTTTTGTGCTCATTGGGACCTTTCCTGAACGCAAAATTCCTGCAATCAATTTGAAAATTAATTCACGAAGTTCTTTGTTAATATCATTGTCGCAATCTTTTGTGAAACTTCGGTCAAGAAAATCTGCGTGAACTACTTTCATATTTTCAATTGGTGGATTTCTTTCCTCGTAATTTTCAGGGAGAAAATTTTCACTCAATAGCAACTTATGGAACTTGAAAGCATTTTTTAAATGGCTGATGTATGGCTTTCTTTGATATAAGCCACCACAATGAACACACCTATGTGAATCGGCTCCCAGTAATTTATGATCATTTTTTAAGTGATCAGAATACAATTTTAAAAGTTTAAATCTCTTTTCACAAACAAAACAAACATATACCGAACCAGACTGCAACTTATTTATTCCATTCCATATCAGAATCCGATCACCAAGGACTGGAACGACGTGGATGAGGTCATCTTTTTGAAGGTGTTGTAAAGAATCGTCGGTTAGATTGTTGTCTGTTAAAAAAACGTGCAAAACTAAGAGTTTTAACTTTAAAAAATGTAGAATGGAATTTAAAATAGATCTTACCTTTAAACAACTGACAGTATTTTCCAAGATTAAGTTGAGTTAACAATCTTTGAATCTCCGCATCACACATTTTGGAATTTTAAAAATAGGAATGTAAATTCCGGAATAAATGAGGGAAATGTGTAAATCTGGAATAGACTAATAAAGTCCAAAGTGCAAATCAAGAAGGGCGGGTGAATTGCGGTAGGCTTACTCGCAATGAAGTTCTCCTAACTTTAATGGGGGTAGATGTGGACTCATTTTTAAGTTATTGCCAAGTATGGTTTTTTCAGAGTTAGAAGGATCGCTTACTAGATTTAGAGCAACTGAACTTACTCTTAAAATACCTTCTTATTCTCGGTTTAGGGTTACATTCATTTTTACTTTTCGAGAAGTACGCTACATTTTTGAGAGTGTACTGAATTTACTTAGGTTACGTGTTTGGGTCTAGCATGGCAAAACTTTAATTCGACCTTTTCCAAATTAGACTTTGATAATCTGCGCGTTAGTGTGGGGACGTTGTCGTTTTGCAGTAACAAGTTTTTTCGGGGGCGCGTTGCCAAAAGGTTTGTAACAAATCATCATCAGAAGTACCGTTACACACTTGTAATGCCGATAAATTGCAAAATTCCGATTCAGTTTCAGGCCATTGACCCCCAAAATATAATACCGCCCCGCTATGCGTCACCGGTTTACATTGTGATATAGGTCTCATTATTCATCATATCAATTTCGGCGTCTTATATACATCTAAATTTCAATCTGTATCAGACTTAGTTAACTACTGTAGTTACTAGTTACTTGCAAGTTAGATTTGCCCCAGTCACTTAAATTGCCTTGTTTCTGGTCATTAATTGAAATAATTTTCTTCAGTTGCTCGATGCAATGGTCGTTTCCTAGGATATTTAATTCTGCAGGACGAACCCTAATAGTCGGCCTGAACTCCTGGACAATGTAACATATTAGAAAAAAATTAAATGAAATAATTTTGAAAGAAATTCGAAAGAGGAGTGACGAATTACGTTAGGGGTGTCATTATTTTTTTGGCGTGTACTTTTTTGCTTATATTATTTGCATTAAGACGGCCGAAGCCCAAGAGATTAATATAAAAGTGTTTATGGTTTTTGGAAACCCAATCGATTTTACTGTAAAGTGCGGAAAATTTCATAAGAAAATTACCATCCGAAACAAAGTTACATACGATTATGTAGCAAGCGTCCTTACTCTGTACTACATAATATATTGGGGTAACTGTACGTATGCACATATGTACATGTACATATACATACATACCAGCATGGGAATAGAACCCAGCTTCACGGGTGAACCGGAAGGCTTTGGATATTCCATGGGGTAATCTAAAGAATTGAGAATAGCATATGATTTTGTTGCTAGTGCATTTGTCATGCATCATTTTTAAGTACTTGTGTGAACTAAGGTGGAGACGATTGCATGATTTGTTGCATTCATGCTAGTGAAACAAAATAAATGCACTGAAATATTGATTCGTATAAGTGCGGTAGCATTCTTTACCTCGCTGTTAAGGGGAAAGAGCACTCTCCGTGACAGTAGTAGGCAATGAATCCATCTGCATTAATAAATACGATACGAGTTCAAAATCGGGTTAAGTGAAAATGGTATTAATGAATATTACTGGTATGAATATTAATGGCATTAATGCAAACCCAGTTAAATTATTAGAACCAAACTTTCCTGGAGCAATGATCCAATCTTTCAACCCCAAATCTTCAAAGTTGACGTACAACGTTCCCATTTGACAGTTCTTTGGTGGATCAAATACATCCGGAAGATCATACTCTCTGGCATTCTTCGTCTTTCTGGTTCCAATTCCTCTCACAGTTTCGGTTTGTTTGTTTGTTTGTTTAGCCTTTATTTCACGTGTCATTCAACCTATCAGTACAAAATTAGACTGGTCTCCCTAGGGTGACACGACTGATCACAATAAAATCAAACCATATATTTACGCATATTGATTAACTAATTACTAAACTTAACTAAACCTTAATTTAAATCATACTAGGACCTCTTCTCTATTAACCACTGATTTACAGATTTTCTAAAGCTCAGGTTCTTATCATTAATATTACAAAACTCGCGTGGAAGAGAATTCCATAATTTTGAGGCCGAATAACTGAACGAATTTTGATACATCGATGTGTTGTGCTTCTTGACTGAACAGAGGCTAGAATTTCTTGTCACCATGCTACAATTATTTGCATGAGGGGAAAATAATTCTTCTAATGCTGACACTCTGCACCCATATTTTCTAGCTTTATAAACAAACCAAACTGAGAAAAAGCTAAATCTCTCGGAAACCGTTAGTAAATTATGTTTCTCCAAGAGCAGAGTGAAGTCAATGGATTTGAATGCTTTGTCGCATTCCTGTCGAGCCTTTCTGGCTTCGCTTGACGACAAATCTGCCCAGAACCTTTTATGTTTGTATTTGTTAGTTTTTGGATAATAATAATTTGCAAGTACACTCCGGGAACTAAAACGTGGACATGTGCCATTTTTCGAAATTTCTCATCTGTCGTTGAAACTATTACTTAATGTTTTTTGGTATAAAGTGCTATGACGATTATTTGTCTTCTCGCCAAGTTTTATGTTTGCTCATATTGTGACAACTTTGTAAAACGCAAAACTATGAAATTCAGGTGGGAACTAAAACATGGACACTTCTTAAAAAATCTGTTGCCAATTTTTATAGTCAGAAGATTTATCCCGGATATTTTTCATTTTCGTAAGTAGTAAAATACTAAGGATGTTAAGTAGTGCTTGGTGCAAATTCAGTTTGTCCTTAAGACGGTATGCCATGGCGGAGGGAAAATATCTCGATCTGTTGCAGATGGAAAGAATCGAAGCCTTATTCCAGGAACGGTGGAGTATTTCGCACATTGCGAAGTATTTGAATATCAGTAAACACTCCATAACGAATTTCAAGGTCAAGGGACTTGTTTGCGGTGGACTAAAGGAGCCAGGACGCATGCCAAAAATTGCAAAGAGGTAGAGATCCATCATTTTTCTGCGCTTTTGCAACTCATTTATCACTTCAAACCAGATAAAAGCAGAATTTAAACTTACATTGTCTTGGCGGACAGTTAGTAATGTCCGTTCGGCTTGCCCCACCTTCACCAGACGAATTGTGAAGATGAAACCGGTGTTGTTGCAATAGCAAAATGATGCGAAATTTCGTTGGGCGAAGAATCGAATGACCTGGACTACAAAATGGGAAAGCGTAGTCGTTAGTGACGAAAACCGATCGACCTTGGATGGGCCCGATAGTTATATGTACAATTTCCATGATATTCGCAGAGAAGACCTCACATGTACCCACATACATAATGGTGGGGGGAGCGTCAGGATTTGGGCGTTCATAGTCCAGGAATAATGTCCGAAATCGTATTCGTTCCAATTACACTGAACTTGGATGGCTATCAGAACATCTTGGGACAACATTGACTTCATGAAACCAACATTGTAGGAAAAAAATGGCAACTCCGACAAGATTATGCCCCTTTCCGTGCATGCAGACGATCAATAAAATGGTTTCAATTTGACAAAATTGATGTTCTCCCGTTACCAATGAGAAACTCAGATTTAAATCCTGTCGAAAATATTTAGGAATACGTATTACGTCAGGTTTACCCAAATAATTGGCAGTATTCCGATGTAGCCGATCGTAAACCAACAATCATTGCCGCATGGGTTCCGTGGCAAACAGCGTTATCCATAAACACGTGGGGTTGATGAGAAACCGAATTTTTGATTTTATTCATAGAAATTGAAGTTATACTAAATATTACTGTGAGAATTCATGGAGAAAATTAGAAGCAAACAGCAGAAATTGCATAAATTCCAAAAATGTCCATGTTTTAGTTCCCATCTGATTTTAGCATATTAGTTGATAGTAGCTCTGTCGCTGCTCCAATTTGTATGAAAATTTGTGCCAAGATTACCCGTTACCTTGGCACTAAGTGACAAAAAATTCAAACCCATAGTCTGAGAAACCGCCAAGATATTTCGAAAAATTGAACATGTCCACGTTTTAAGTCCCGGATTGTATCTTGCGTGTAACTCTTTGCAGCCGGTCAAAGTCATTCTGGCGAGTTGCTCCCCATACAATTAGGCTATAATCTATAAGACAGTTAATATAAGCATTAATTAACGTCAGTACATTAGGGGCAATATTTTTTCTGATTTTACAAATTAGTCCGGCGTTTACACTGATTTTTTTGTAAACATGGTCAAAATGACGTTTGTACGTTAAATATTCATCAAAATACAAACCCAAATATTTAAAAGTAGACACTCTTTCCACAACATTATTATTAACTGAAATGTTTACAATTTCCGTACTTGGTTTTGCTCCGGATTTCCTAGAAATCATAAACCTTGTCTTCGAAAAACTAACGGGAAGACCAACCGAATTACACCATACATCGAGTCGAGTTAAAATTACTTGCATACGTTCACATGCGGCCTCTAAGTTGGTGGCCTCAAAATATATGACCAAATCATCGGCAAAAGCTAGGAACTTGCAATCTCTCAGCACACCTGCGACCTTATTAAAAAACAGAATATATAGGGCCGGACCGTTAACCGTACCTTGCCCTATTCCACGGTTATCAAAGTATGTTGTCGACCTATACTGACCTAATTGTATAATAAATTGCCTATCAGATAAAAAACTAAAAATAAGTAAAACTATTCTAGCACTAAGTTTAAAAATTCTTAAGAGATCTTCGATTAATAAACAATGCAAAATATTTGTCAATAAAACAGGCTATAACTATTGTGTTACGTTTGTCGAGAGCTGTGTACAAGTCATTCGTAAAAACTGCATGGGCTGTTGTGCATGATCGACCAGATCGAAAACCATGTTGGTTATCGATCAGCAGGCCCTTTCCTTCAACATGCAACATTAAACGCGAGTTAATCACATACTCAAAAAGTTTGCTCAGGTTCGAGAGAATTGGAATAGGACGATAATTACCAGCGTCTGTAATTGAGCCTTTCCCCTTATAGAGCGGGATAACAACAGCTTTCTTAAAATTAGTTGGGGTTGACCCTGACACAAAAAAAACAAGAAAATAAAATTGATAGGGGTATTAAAATATGAGGTAGCAGATCTTTTAATGCTGCAGTGGGTATAAAATCCGAGGGCGAAGACTTCCATTTCATTCGAGAGGAAAACTTCGCCAACTCGTCAACTAAAGCAGTACAATTAAAAGAGTCATCCTCATCGATAGCTTGATGTTTCACCGATTGCAGCAAACTATCTCTTACTTCCGGTGGAGTTAAGTCCGGGACTACAAACGATTCGGCTAAAGCTTGGGATTTTTTTAAACTATCAGATTCAAGGCTATCATTAATTTTTAAAAATGAAATATCAGCACTGCGTTTAATATCCCTACCAGATAGTTTATAGTAAGTTTTCCAAATTGATGCTGAGTCATCAATCTTATCAAAGTTTTGAAAGTAATAATTCTTCCTTTCTTTTGAAACCCTACAAGCTACATAATTTCTGAGCTTTCTATATTTTTTCAATAAATCAGGAGATGGGTTTGATTCGTACTCTGATTTTAACGAATTTCTTTCGCTAATTAGCGAGAGAATTTCGTTTGTCATCCAGCATGGAGACTTTCCTTTAATTCGTTTTTTCTTTTCCGGAAAAAATTGATCTAAGGCAAAAGTCACAACATTTTCAAAGGATTCTAAATTAGCATCACTAGATTTGCTAGCATTAACTCCATCCCAATTTATTTTACTTATGTACAAACCAATATCTACCCAGTTGACATCTTTAAAGGATCGATAAGTTATTAATTTGGAGGGAACCTTATCTTTTTTGTATGAGCTAACACAAAACGTGGCACAATGGGCTGAAGTTGTCAAAGAGAAAACACCAGATTGTTTGATCCTTTCTAGGAAAGTTGTAAAAATAAGGTCAATTAATGTTGACGTAGTCGAAGTAACAGGCGTTGGCTCAGAAATCACCAGCTTATAGCTGAATTAACTGACAAGGCTAACTAATGAGGAGGAAAATTTGTCTTTGACATTAAGATCAATGTTGAAATCCCCCAAAATAATCGACTCTACGTTGTCACGCTCAATTTGAAAGAGAAGAGATTCAAATGAACGAACAAAACTGGATCTTAGTGAATCAATTGGAGGACGGTAAATTAACACCACGATAATGGATTTGTGGAAGGGGGGAAATACTTGAATACAATTCACCTCTACTTCTGTCGGAAAAGTTACTTCATAATTTAAAGGTAAGAAACTAAACCCGTCCTTGATATAAATTAACGAACCACCACCGCCTCGTCCCTGTCTGTCAAATCGTACAATAGAATATCCTGGGACATTTACATACGAGGTGGGGATCGAATCGTCAAGTTTACTTTCATTAATACAAAAAATCGTAAAATTCTCGGTTTCCAAAAAGTGGCGAATTTCGTCCCTCTTACCCCATAAGCTGTTGCAGTTAAGCTGCCCAAATTTCAAGCCCTCAACAAATTTAGGAATCGGGACAATACTTGGAAAATTAGTATAGTTAGTATAATTTGCAGGACTAACAGATTCGTCGTCTTCACCCGGTAAGGGCTCTTCATAAAACGGAAAGGTTTGCAGAATAGGTGTAGCGATCGATTGCGGGTTATCGACACAAATGGGGCATGCCCAATTCGCTTTGAAGATCGTCCAATTCTTGGGGGGAACTATAATCTGAAGGCAGATCCGGTGCGAAACTTCACCACAACTTTGACATTTAATTTTGTTTTGCTGGGGTTTAAAAGACCCGTGACATGATGAACAGTTGAGGCGCATCTCGAAATAAAAAACCGAACAGCCATTAATAAGGGAATGATAATATAACGTTAATAAATAAAACAAGATCAAATCAAGATTTTAGTTTTAGTTGTAGTAGGCTCCCTCGGTGACCACATTGTGTGGTATGAGAATGACGACGACGATGACGAGACGACGACGATGATGAGACGACGACGATGATGAGACGACGACGATGATGAGACGACGATGATGAAATGAGGTCCCAGCAACAACGATGGTAACACGATGATGGCGCCGAAAGTGCCAAACTCAGTGCCAAATTGTTGAACTCCACATCAGTAAATAACGGGGATAATGGGAAGAAAAATGGTTAGTGATGTACATAACAAATTCTGATCAGGAACATGTCAAGTGAATAAGTTTAGACTTGCCTGGCGCTGAGCCAGGCGGGTGTGGCAGCCGTTTAAACCAGAGGGTTCAAGCTCCACCATAATCTAAAGGGCGCAGGGCCACACCCGAGACTTTAACTCTGAACGAGGTCACTTGCTGTATAATAGGTATACGGGGAAGTTAGACGAGTCCACTTTATTTATTTAGAGGGGAGTCCATTCCGTACAGGAGTTATTAATTTAAAGTCAATTAATGAGTTATAATCGCATCCCCGGAGGAAATTTAAGATGTTGTGTTGTAGGGGGCACCGAGGGTGTACGTTTGGTTAGGATTTAATAACATATGAGCTATTTTATAATTAAATTTTTAGTATTTAATATTTATTAATGAGAGCAGATGTGGACGGCTGCTACCCTCGCTCTTCCCCATGTTATTGAGCTTTTTCAATAACATGGGGTTGACCGAGTTACTCGAGAGTGGCGACGACGGCGATGTAATTTCTCCGCCTTGTGTGAATCAAGGCTGTCTAGAAAGGCAACGAGGAATGTTTGGTGTTCTTCTGGGTCCATTATTGTAGCCAGGCCGGATTTCGGCGCGGGGACCTCGTTACCTGGAATCAGCAAATTAGGTGTTACATTGTGCAAGCTGGTTTTACTAATGGTAGAATCTACATAATCAGTAAAACCAGTCTGTATCTAATCATTAGATAAAGACGGGAAGTGTAAATCTTGGGATTTATTTTAAATACATATATGTAAAAGTTAAGTCAAGGTGAAATTATAAAATTCTAATTTATGTATGTATGCTTTTAAATTATATTAGCACACATTGGGAGTACAATTATGTAACTGTTGAGGAAAGGGTAGCTTAAAAATACTACTGATCCTTTGTACAATCTACCCTATTTAACCGAGAACTTGTGCCGTGAGGGTCAGCGAGAAAAATAAAACAGGGATACGTGCATAAGTATTTGTTGCATAGAGAGAAGTTCTTATTGTACTTTAAATATGTACTGTTCTCTGAGAGAACAATATTTCCTGTGAAAAAAACTAATGCAAGAAATTAGGCGAACAAATTGTTTTCATTCAGTTGCATGTAACTGCAAGAAATTGGCGTCAAATAGAGGACAACCTCTAGAATTACATAAGTGTAAATAGTACGAAGGACTATTTTGAAGCAATGTCCATGGAATTTTATCTTAAAAGCGAGACGTGTGTAGCAATGACAATTTAAACATGTGGCTCTTAAAGGTAAACATCCTAACCCAATCCATCACTTAATTCGATATCTCACAATGCGAAGGTGTCAGTGGGTTACCTCATATTTCGACCGGACCAATTTTAATATGTTTATGGTCAAGAATAATTAGATACGTGCTCGGGTGTTCGGGTGAATGCGCTAATTTAAATAAGTTATGAAGAGCCAAAGTTTGAAAAAAATGCCTGATTTTTTTCAATGCCTGATAAAAATGCCTGATAAAATGCCTGATAAAACCGTGCGGGAGGTCACAAATTTTCACTCCTTTACTTCTCTCGCAACTTGTGAACATGTTTTCACACTTTTTCACTTTATATGATATTGTAGTTTTTACTAAGTGCATTTTAAACCGATTTTAAACTTTTAAATCCATGTTTGAAAAATTCTTGCCATAGAAGTAATGTCTTTGGCTGTTTTGATTGAGTGGTATTTAATCAAGTTTCATTTGAAACGAATTCGGAGTTGATCGGTTGAGAAATGAGAAAGTTTTCCTGGTGGCATCTGCGAGTGGTTAGGCAGCTAATAATGCTTGGCTATCATTACGTTAAACTACTCGGTTGCTACTGGCAACCAAAGCTTCGAGGATCACTAAACTGAATTGCTTAAGATCACTTAAAAACATGTAAATAAAACAATTATAAAAAACACACTTAGTTGAGGCGCTACTAAAAGCTGGATACGAAGACATTTTTTAAATACCACCATTAATCGCAGATAACATTTATTTCCTATTTTCAACTTTGCATCACCGTTGGTAATTTGTGTTACATTAGTGGTTTACAAGTCCATCACTTTTAATTTTCCCAAATGTTTATTATTTGTTGGGTTATTGTGTGAAATTTATTGTAACGTGAGATGAGCAAAATAGTAGTGTAATTAAACATTTACCAACAAGGAAGCAAGGCAGTTTGAGTCACCAATGGTGACTTACCATGGCAGCCGTGTCCTTTTCGACCCTCCTTAAAGGACGCGGAGCTACATCCCCAGAAACATCACACATTCCAGGGAAGTCCCGTGAACTGTATTTTTGGGACATTTCTATATCCCAAGGAGTTCCCTAAAAGGACAGAATTTTTCGACGGAACTCGTCTGGTCTTCCCTGACAGTGCCTATTTCGCTCGATCTGGAACTAATCGGGAAGTTCCGAAAGAATTCCGTAGTATGTTGCAAAATTCCAAAGTATGAATTCCCATCGAACTCCCTAGGACGACATCTAAATAATTTCTCTCGGGCGGTACTTTTAAAATTTTAAATTATGCATTTATTTATTTCACAACTACTTTTTCGGATAAATATATAACAAAAAATTCCGTCAAGTAAATTTGGTTAAATTATTATGTATCTTGGGTGCCTGTTTTTTTTGTCTTGAGTTTTAGACGGTCAGATGCGTGCTTAAACCATCCTTGGACTGCTTTCTCAATTTTTTCTTCGTCACCATCCAAGTCCGTGCGAGATAGAACGACGCCTGGAAATAAATAAAATAATTAATGATACGATAGACCTGACGCGATGTATGCTTGTCCGTTGCATACATACTTTTCATCGTTCCATAAACTTTTGTTGTTGAGAAATTGTGATTTCCCTTCATCCCGCAAAGACTAAATTTGATTGCCAATTCTTCTGATAATATCTTCACCATTATCCTACCCATCATATCACCAACTGAAGATCCACCAGACAAATATAGAAATCGTTTCTATAATAATTTGAGAAATTGAATAATTAGTTTTTGTCTTAACCATATGAGAGTGAAATAAAATTTAATAAAATAATACAAATGATTTGGACTCGGATTCTGGAGACGCATCAAAATTTTCAAACTCGGTTATTGAACATAATGGAGTTGGGAGTGGATGAGTTTCGTTTGACGCTCCCAAATTATTTTCGATGGCAAGAGTGTACTTCACACTTTTCTTATCTTGCACCAGAGTTTGAAGCATAGCTAGATAGTTGATTAACATATTTGTGAACTATAAATAATTATTTCAACATTAAAGTAGAACACTTCGTTTGTTACCCAATGTTGTATTCCGTTCCTTGGCCGTTTCATCAATGTGGAAATCGAATGGTATTGGAAGTAATTCAGCGCGATTTTTAGCTTGACTCGTCAAATCATTCGAATTACCAGCAGCTTCAACGCTCTCGTTAGCTATGGAGCGACAAAATATTTAACATATTTGATAAGGCCTGAGAATCACTAAGCTATATTCGCACCGACACATCCAGGATCACGGGGAATAATAAATTGTGGATTGTTGCCATCGCCCAATGTCATTTCTTCTGTATTACCTGACAAGTTTTGTTAAAAAAGATTTGTAAAACTCCGAAATTATCATTTTTCACACATTTAACTAAGTACAATCTTGCAACACAAGTGAAATTTTACCAGTTGAATGGTCCACGCATATCAACGTCGGAAATTCTGACAGCTTTGATGTCGATCCAATATTTTTTTCGGTGCTTGTGAACTTTGCCTGGGGGTTTGACCGGTGCTTTCGAATCATTTCTCGATCATCCTCTGACTCAGAGCTCAAATCTGACAGTAACTCGTGACCTCGGAGATTCTTGGCTGCATCTTCATATGTACCTGAGGTTTTCGAAAAATCCTAAATTAACTGGTATGGTAAAAACGCTTAATTGGAGTTAAATATAAATATGTAGACATACCATACTTCTTAATTATTCTTCCCACACATTTGCTCCAGTTTTGCTGCGGAACTTTCTTAGATTTAACAAATGTAGTAGGATTTTTCACGGGTGGCCACCAGTATTTACCACTTTCTTCATCCAGCCATGTGTCCGGGACAATTCCTATTGTTTTTCCGGCTTTATCCTCGAACTCGAGAACCAGGAACATATTTAATCAACTTGAACTGTGCAATAAGGGAAAGGAAATGAGATATTTATCCTCGGAGAATACTTGACATTTGCATAAAATGTCGGACAACTTTATAACTTTGAGATCACTATTTTCACTGAAATGTTGGAATTTATAAATTCGAAGAACCACTGAGTCACAGGTTTCGCAAAATAGGTTTTCTTTCTCTGATGTTTCTACCACAAAAAATACGTACTCAGAATCTGCCGGATTAAAACATATGTTTTTAACTTGACACAAAGAAAATATTTTTGTGAGAATATAAGAGTCTGCAACTCTATCTGTTCGAATAGTACACAAATTAATCTTAGCACATTTGTACTCCTGTCCATTAAATCCAACTAAATGTGGCCCTGAACGATGAGATCTTGAAAATGGAAATATGGGGGAATTATTTTTACGATACACTCGTTTACGTTCCAGGCCATGAAGTACTTGAATAAGTGGCTTGTTGGGCGTGCGAACCAACTTTTTTATTTGAAATAAATAATTTTCAAATTTAAAGGCGCTATATTTATCCACGGGTCCAAGGTTTTTGCAATCTAATGCTACATGCGTTAGAGCATGCACGTTATAGGAAATCTGGTGTTTACCGTATAGGATCCCGAAATTTCTTACGAAGAACAGAAGCAATTGACTGGCGTAATCATTAAATGTTAAATGAGTCGATTCACCGGATAAAAGTGAAATGCTAACAAACAAACACATGAATAACTTGTAGTCATCATCAGAAACAATGTTTTTTAGTACAACAGGCCCAAGATACATCAAAAATTGACGAAATTCTGTAGCCTTCCATCTGGCTAAATCACTCAAACCTCGGGGTTTTCTTGAGAACTCGGACACAACTTCACTAGATTTTAACACTATTAACTTTGAGAGGTCCTTTATTTTGCTACTTGCTAATTTATGTGGACCAGGTTTTCCATCTACCCAGATATGAATAAGTTTCTTTACTACCCCAAGAGTTACCAGGTGCATATACTCACAGGGGAAATGTTTAATCATATCTAACCCTGGAAGTTCCTGTAGTATCGATGTTCCAAGGTGATGCTCAGGATTAGTTTTCTTTCTAAAATTTGAATCACTCCTCAGTCGGCATTTCATGTCGGGGAAAGACATGCGATTTTGGTCGTAGTTTCCTTCGACCTCACATTTGTCACCCAAAGTATCCAGCATGACCCTTCGAAAACTTTATCAACGACTTGGCTGGTACATCACAAACGAAACAATTAATGTGCATTGATATATTTACGGCACTTAGCTCGGCTTTCACTTGAATGAATTCATCCACAAATTCCCTCAAATACTCATTCACATTTTGTGGCTTTTGTTTCCCAAAGAAAAGTCCTATGACAAATGGGGCACAGGAAATGTCTGCAAAGTATCCAAGGATCGGCCAAAATGAACTGTTTGTACTTTTATAGACTGGCAATCCATCGACACTGACTTGCAATTTTAATATTTGACCCTCACAAGGATTTAGTTCTAACACAGCATTTTTTAAACCTAAGTGCACATACTCCCCACCCTCTATAGACTTTACGTTTGAGAATTTTGAAACAGGGACAAGCGACCTACAGTCCGAAGGAAAATTATTGAAACATGAATGCAGTTTCAAAATTTTAAGCAACGAGGTAAATTGATGTTGGCTAACGTTTGTATTTGTTGCCCACATTTTGAGTTCTGAGAGATCATCATATTCATCATCACAGCCACTTTCACTTTCACTGTCAGAACTGTCAACTTCCCAATAATTAAAATTGAACTCAGGGTCCTGTCCGATCCCGTCATGATCATTGCAAATTATATCTAACTCCGATAGAAATGCAACACTTTCGGAATACGGAATATCTTTAGTTTCACTAGTTTTTGTGGAATTGTCAATTTGAACAGAACTTATATTTAATGTCTCATGCCTAGCCAGTTGCTGTATTCTGCGCTTTCCAACTATTGATTTTCGCATATTAGTAACTTACCTGGCCAGGGGAGCCAAACTCCAAAAATAATGAGAGATTTTAAGGATAACACAGACAGAAATTAATTTTTGTAAATTTGATTGGGATTCACCAAATCGGACGAGTGATTTGTTAGAATGCGAGACTTATATTAAATCGGGCGGTCGGGAAAATCATGTGCTTCAATATGTCGTGCTAAAAAGGAAGTGCTTTGGAACACCACAGGAAGTCCTTGTGATGTCCAAAACACTCATATATTTCCAGATGCAAAGGAATCCCTGAGGAGTCCTATAGGAATCCTCACTAGGATATTACCAGCACCTCATTTGGATGTCCTATTACTATTCGTAGGAAGTTTATTCGAGGAATTCCCGTATGTCCCGAGAGGGAACCAAATAGTTCTTCCTGGGGATGTGTGACGTTTCTGGGGATATGATGATTGAAAATGTCTTGCTTACGAAGGTCAGCTTAAAAGTGCTTATATAAGCACTTTTAGGCGCCATTCAGAAACACTTGTTTTAAACACTCTTTAGCTTGAAATATTAACATTAAATAATCAATAAAGGAAATGTGTTTTCGTTTTACTAACAAGGGATGGTTCCCGACTGCTTGTTGAGTCCAGGGTACCCTCTATGCTTTTTAGAATCTACCAGGGCCCCAGATGAAGGATCCATTCACATTTCCGTGTAAAACTCATATTTGGCGCCGTGGCGAGGCGCCAAACCTTTTAGATGAGATTTTCGACCAATTTAGAACCTTCATAACTTTTGAAGTTTCAGCGCGATTTTCAAAACTTTTGGATTTAAATGATCACAAAAATCGATATTTCAAGAGATAATTAAAAAATTATTTTTTTAAATTTTTGACATATTTTTAATATTTTTTCGACAACACCCTTGTCCGAGTAAAAATCGAAATTTCTCAAAAAAATGCGACAAATTAATTTTTGTTAGCATACAAAAATTTAACTCTTTGTGATTATTTTAGCGTAAAAATCATGAAAATCGGTTTATAATTTCAACAGTTATGGCGGTTTTAAAAACAAAAACATGCAAATATGGCGAATTTGGCGCCACGCCACGGCGCCAAATGTGAGTTTTACACGGAAATGTGAATGGATCCTTCATCTGGGGCCCTGGTAGATTCTACGAAGCATAGTGGGTACCCAGGACTCAACAAGCAGTCGGGAACCATCCCTTG